TGGTCTAAGTCTTTAAGCTTTTAAAAAATAATTCACTCATTATTGCCAGCTTAATGCATTTAGGAGATTGAGTTTTATCATGTCTTATATTTCAGTGGGTGTGCCATAATCAGATTGCGGCACTCGTGGAGCTTCGTTGTAGACATCGGCCGCTCCCACTAACTAACCGATATTATTACATATCTGTACATAATACGTATGAATGAACATCCAAAAATGTGTACAATCAAATTAGAATTTAGAAACATTTGGAACAGCAGTCAAATAGATGTTATTTTTTTTGTTTTCATCCAAGTTTTTGATAGATGAAAACACATTTTTAAAATAATAAATACGTTAACATAGAAAAAAATCTCACCTTACTATTTCATTTTGCGCGGTACAAAACGCGACATAGCTCCATCGGGAGCGAACACAAAGAGTTTGTTATTCACATATCGGTCCAGGACAGTTCACGTGGTGGCACTGCACACCGGCACTGAGGGATACGTCGCGCGCGTGTTGTTGTTGTAAGAGTCCCCTCGCAGTGAGGCGAGGGCGCTATCGGTGGCGCGGCGCGACTGCGCGGACCGCCGACTCCTCTCGGTTCGATACTCCGGCCATGAAATTTTCAGCCAGCTGTCAACCGGTGGCGGCACGCAGGTGCGCGTCACGTCCCACCTAAAAGCCTACCACCATTACCATTCTTAACTGTTTAGCGGTAATGTTTACGTTTAGTAAATTGTAGCTCGGATGTTAGCGGCAAATTGCGTCAATATTAGTTAGTTTTTGTTAAGTTAAAAGATTATTCAATCGCTGCTTTAATGATTTTATTTTTAAATATCTGACGTCTTATTTAGGTGATTTTTAATTTATAATTTATGTACGTTTTGTATTTTCTTGCCGATTCCTTTACACTTTTCTCTCTATTTATTAATAGTACCACGATTTAATGGTGTAAGAGTATGTATTATATAATATGTAGAAATTAAAAAAAAATGATAACAGCCGACTCTATCGTTCCTTATTACCCAATTATCCTCACCTCTGTATACGTCAAATATATACGTCATATAGCCATAGTAGAAAACTTGAAGTTCGTATTCTAGTAAAGTCTTTTGTCAGTAGGTGGCGCTCACATTATAAGTTATAAATAACTCTGGTTTATTTTCGGCCAAGTCATGAATCAATTACATATATATTATTTGTTACCTATACATGATAATATAGTTGAAGAGTCCATATTAGAAACAAATAGCTTTCGATGTACTTTGTTAGGTATAGTGTTTTGCAAAACTATATACCTACTAAGCCTGGCGGGTCAAATGTTTTTTTTTTTAAGATTTTTAAAAATTCAAAGACGTCTTTAATATTGCCATATATTTTCATCCAATCAATAGTTTAATCAGAATTCTAGAAAGAGACAACTACAGTCTTAACGTAAATATGAGTACATGCACGAGGTTCAGTAGTAAGAAAAAGAAGAAATTATTTGCAGTCTTATGTGAGACTCATTTGTTTTGCTCAGGATTAATAGAACCAAAAAGGCCATCGGCATCTTTATCTTCCGGAAACATGCAACCGCTTCCCTTTATGCGTTGTTTTTGCTTCATCCTATAATATTTAGATAATAAAGTCCGTTCATTAGACACCATTTTGTTTAAAAGAAAACATTATAAATTTCTTCGTCTGAATTTACAATATATTACACTAAATAATAAAAAGTTATGGGAGACTATAGCGGCTTACCCTACCTTCGCTTGGGTTCGTACCTAGATACGTTTTAAATAAATAAAAATAGTTATTGTGTGTGTGCCTTAGAAGATAGATACATGCTATCGCGGACTTCTCTGTAAGCCTTTTTGAGGTCTACAATTTTCTAGTACATTGTTTTTATGTATCTCCAAAGGTTTAGCCAGCGTTAGCGATGTAATAGTACGAAAACAGTTTTATTGACGAAACACCGTCTAAGTTCGGCTATTTTATACAAAATATTTATAAATTATATATAACACAAACCTTTTCGTTTATCGCTCTCTCTAGTAGTAAAAACTGTAATGATTTTAATATGGTTTTTGTTAATTGAAAGAGCGATATACAAATGCCGTGCTTTAATAGAAGTAAGCTGAGAACTGAGAAACAGACAGACGCAGACCAACTTTGTTTTATATAGATATAGACGACTGATTTTCACCCAACAAAATTTATATTTCCATGAAAATGAGAGATTTTGCCACACAAAATTGTTAAATATGTAAATTTTTAACCCTTCTACTAACAGTTTTTGTGTTACCTTCTTCTTCCTCCTTCCCTCATTGATGAGGATCGCGACCACTTATATTTTTTTCCAGGCAGTTCGGTTCAGCGATGCCTGAACTGCGGCATAGAGAGTTGCATCGACTGACTTCATTAACGCGTCCGACCACCTTAGAGGTGCACTTCCCCGTGCGCGTTTATCGTCAATTTGGCCCAAGATATTCAGTTACTTTAGACTATGCTTGAGTAATTGCATAATATATCCAAAGAATTTTAGGGCCTTTTTTGGTCAGAAAGTGGTGTGTCGCTCTGTGATCTTAAGTTCGGCAAGAATGGTTTATTAGTTCTGTTAGCAGTCCACGCGTCAATCTTCTTACTATCGTGACTCTTGATTCATCAAATTTCAAAACCATACAGAAATATGTAAAAGACTAGGGCTCTTACGACGACGAAATGTTTGGCTCAGTTTGTAGTGACCCTACTTGCTGTACCAGCGGTCGCGGGTTCGAGTCCCGCTGGGGGCATTCATTTGTGTGATGAGCACGAATGTTTGTACTCTAGTCATGGGTGTTTATATTTATAATATTATGTATGTGTAGTGTATCAACCATCTGGTATCCATAAAATAAGCCTCGCAGCTTACCATGGAACTAGATGGCGCTGTGTCTTAATGTCCCAACATATTTACATGTTCTTACCAACTGCACTTTTGTCATGCGCATTATACCACGATTCTTTAATACTCTGTCGAGGGCTGTCTTCGCCTTTTTGAACATTCCAGCTCGCCGGCGGATTTTCTCTGAACAACTGCCATCGATAGTTATTAATGAGCCTAGATAAATGAACTGATTGACTTTGAGCGAGTCGTTAGGATTTGAGCGCGATCTATTACCATAACTTTGGTCTTCATTTTGTTATCCTTAGACCTAGCTTGGCACTCTAAGCTTCAAGTTTCTTCAATAGAGTTGCCATTTCCTATACACTTGTTGCAAATATGATAAATAAAAAATAATAATAATATAATATAAATTTTATATAAAGGACAACTCGGACAAACAAGTTAATGTTTTATCGTGGGAATGAAAGATTTTTCTGTAGTAAAAGGTATCCTAACATGCCTCGAGAGGTAATAATTAAGATAAGAGACTACACAAAATTTTGTAAAATCCGTTTAGTACTTTTTACTTGAAATACACAGATGTAAATACAAACAGACATACTGACAAAAATCTCAAAGATTGTTTTGGGATCTATATTCCGTCGGTCATAGTATGTACAGATTTGGCTTTGTTACCATTTTATTATTAAATGTATATATTGTATAGGTACTTCTTTATTTAAATAAAAAATATTTTAATTTTTATTACCATTATATTTTATTACACAAAATATATAACCGTATAACACATTACGTGGGGACACTGGTGAGAGCTACGACATTACTGAAACTACAAATATTTACAGAATTCTTTATGGTTGTGAATACAAAAGTGGCATAACCAAAAAATATTTAGAATATATTTTGATTTATAATATGGCAATACAATTGGTACAAATATGACACACTCGCGTTCAACTTTTTTGATTATAATGGCGTGTGATTAGACCACTTTTGCAGTGACACCGTGATTATCATATCATACCATTCCTGTCAAATTTACATCTGCGGGTAACATGAACACGTATTATTCTAAAAGAGTATTAAATGTCCCGAAAACAGAAAGAATATATAAAATATTAATAAAAGTAGTATAGGCACATTATAAATTTCAAAATGCTGTTTATGTATAACGTACACAACAAGTGTACAAATAATTTAGCTGATTATTAGTCTTTTCATTCAGTTTTATTATAAATACACTATCCTACTTCCGACTTCATCCTTTTTCTTTAATATCAATCATGAGTAGAAAAATGTTACATTATTAAGTATCGTTCGAAATTCGGTTTAAACGTGTTAGATTTTAAAGCTTCTAAATTTATTATACAAGAGGGAGACAGCACCTTGCTATTACATTAAATTATTCGCCTTTGGCTTAGTATTAGCTTTCCTATAATATTCTTAGTTTACGAGATTCTTATTTATAAATACATAATCAATATATACAGATATCGACAATCACATTAAAAGTTTAAAGTATACTCGCATAACACTTAACTTACAGGTGGCATTGAGAGCATGATATTTACATTTAGGTACATTTTTATTATAATTAAATTAAAACTGTCCAATACACTTCTTTCTCTATTCTAAGAACACACAAACATCGTATCCTCCACTCAGTCACATGCAAAGAATACTGTGAAAAGTATGGATAAAATAATTTAACACACATTTTTTGTAATCTAAATAAATTGCATCATAAATATTTTTGAATATTTACTTACTAATAATATCATTTATAGGCAAAAAACGTAATGATAATTAATAATCATTTTTATTTTTTCAAATAATCTATAATAACTGATAATTTGACAGTACAACAAATATTGATTCAAACAAACATTTCTCCAAATCCAAGAATTTAAAATAAGAATAATTCTCTTTATGTGACCATTTCACTGATATAACATCTGTATACAACTCGAACATTTAAAAACATGAGGCACGAATAATTAACACTAGACAATGGGTGTAATGAAAGATTTTTGTACAGTAATGAATGCATCAGTCCATTTCCCTTCCACTTTGTAGAAACCACAGTTAGCACTCTCTATAATTTAATAGGGCAGCAAAATATCGAAGGGATGTTGAGGTATAATCAGGTCCGTTTGTTTCTGGCCTTGCCGTTGACGAGCGGCTCGTCTTGCTGGCTCTTTCGGGGTCGTAGTATGAAGTTTAAATTGTATGCTGTGTTTACTGCGTAATATACGTTTGCATTCGCTGGTAGAACCATCTCTGTGAAAAATAACAATTGTTTAAATCTTATTAGTACCTATATTACAATTCTAATTTAATATTGGACATTTTTACAAAATTGAATTCAAAGAATGTGTTCATTTTCAATGTTTTAACCAGGGACCATAAAACTAGGGTTTAAACTTAAGCCTTATAAAATGGTTAACCATTCTATACATTTTTAGAAGAACATTGTTACCCGTTAAATGTGTAACCCACCTTGTAGCAAATGGAATGTGTTAATCATTTTTTATAATAACCCTATTATAGAATTAACCCTATCGAAAGGGTTACTATATCGTTTATAAGTCAATCTATGAGGTAAACCCTTATCTTCTTTTTAAGGTTTTATAATGGAATATATATGATTTCATTACACCTGTTTTGTCTGGGTAACGTTATTGAAAGGGTTTTCTTTAAAACACTACATAAAACTATGTTATAAATCCTTAAAGAGTAACCAAATGGGTTCCTGGTTTTAACTATCTTTTTAATTTCTATTCTTAAAGCGATAGGAATACTTTTCCATTATTATTATTAACCTATATCAGTCTTAATAATAGGATGAAAACGGCAACAAGAGCACTGAATATTCCTAGAATATTAACTACTTTTACGGAAAAGAAATAACGATATATCATAATTTATAACAAATGATGTACAGTAACATTATCGGATAAAAAAATCTGGTATCAATAAATTTCTAAAGGAAAGATTAATTAACAATTTATATATCAGAAATATAAGCAAACATAAACACGTACCTCTTTCCGGCAAAACTTGGGCTAAAGTGTATCCATCAGGATCACCATCGAGATTCAACTTGAGCATCGCGTTACGTATCACTTGCGGTGTGCGCTCGTTGTTGCTTAACATTATCGATTTATACAAAACCACACCCTCAGTTTCCACGCAATCCGACTCATATGTAACTCTAATTATATAAAAATCTGGACCATTTCGTGTATTCGCATGTGCGGGACTATTTGCTATCACTTTGCCATTTGCCTGCTTCTGGCCACTGTTTACGCTACATAAGGACACGTCCAAGGACGGCAATGATGAAGAAGAGGAGCCATGAGATAACCTTGTCGGCGAAATTCGTCGCTCCAAGCTATCTCTCTTCCACGCATTGATAGCACCGTCGGTCTCACAATAAAACTGCGAACTGTTACTAGAGCTTGTGCTGGCTATTGAATCGTTTTTCCTGTGACAATGATTATTGTTTTCAGATATTTTTTTCGTTCGCCGATCTTTTGGTGGATCTGGTTCGATTTGACACGATAATTGGTAGGCTTCTCTATCGTCTAGTACTATGACTGAATCAAACCATCGGTCAAAAATTGGGTCGGGTGACAGGTGATAAGCGTTAGCAGCACCCTGTAACAATTTAATTTGTGCAAGGACCTCAAACTCTTTTCGTCTTTTATCAAAATTTATTAAACCATCAGCTACAGTGTCATGAATGGCAGTATCGATCATCGTGAGATCAGTTAAAAATGTACCCAGATATGGAATAGTTCCGTGACTAACGCCCGGCGAGCCACGTTCGTGTAACAGTTTTTGTAAATGTCTATCATTTTCACCGACAGTATCCGCAAATTTAGCCGTCCCCTCCCTCATTAACAACTCGCGTTGGGCCCATCGGTTATTATCTTCACTAAATATCCTCGCCAGTTCGTCGAACAACTCAGTCTTCTCTTTCGATAAAAGCGCCCAAGTCTTCTTCAATCTATACACATTGTTGCTCTGCAACCCCGAAATTATGGCATTTAAGGAAGAAAAATTTTTTAGTACCCTCAACTCTCTAGCGATATCTAACCAAGCAGCTAGTATGTCGGCTCTATCGATAGGTCTAAGATTAGGTTCGACGAGCACAGTAGATATGACTCTAAACGAGACAGCGTTGAACTGGTTAATAGTGGCTAATACTGTCGCGGCATCATGGGACCTGTCCTTGTCTCGTCGCGACCAGACGGCGCCAAGACATTGGTGGGGGACGACTTTTTTGAAGAGTTCCATGTCCATACGAGTGAGTTGTTCGGCGAAATGTCGGTGGGGCACGTGAGGCAGGCGGTACGTGCTGGTGTGATGCGCCGGCACGCGCATGCCGGGCGCCAGGCAAACCCCGCCCGAGGCGGAGCCATTTCGTTCCGCACTGAATACTGCTAGCTTCTGTAACACCTAGAAAACAAACAAACGATAGCATGAGATATTAATGTAGAAATTATTAATGTTAATTTAATTTTATGTATTGTTAAACTTTGACTATAGAAATAGTAAAGAAAATCAGCATGGTCGGCACTCAGAAAGAATTTTTTTTTTCTTAATATTATAACATATAAGAAATGAAATAACCTTCGAATGTAGCTCAGAGCCAGGCAAATGAAGCTGCGTGAAGGCGAGAAGCTGCTGCAGTGCGGGGTGGTGCGGTGGTTGGCGAAAGTCGTCCGGATAGGTGTCCAACCACACGTGGAGACATGCCACCAGAGTCCTACAACAAGTTTGGTATACTAACATACGTAGAATAATTTATAATTATGCAAGAAACTGCTAACTAAAAATTTAGCCACATTAGTTTGTTTTACATTTAAATAAAAACCTACAAATTTTCTATATGAACCAATAAGTAATAAAATAATAAACTTTAATGAAAAAATAGTAATTTAAATTAAAAATATAGTATTTAAAACAAGATAGTTTAACCAATTATGTTTTACAACCAAAATATAAGCAGTATGTCCAGATCAGTGTATAGCTGAGTAAGCATTGGGCAGGAAGACAGTGCAAACAGATATGTAAAGTTGTGATATATACTAACTTTCTATGTTGTTGCGAGGTGTCAATTGCTGCAGGTAGCACATCTTCTGCTGCCAAAGCTTCATATCGTCGCAATAACAGATCCAATACTTGACTACATTCCGCAAATGAGCTGCATAATTCAAAAAACATATTTATAAAAACATTTTCCGATCATAATAAATAATTCCCGCTTAATGGATTACGTAAATCTTTATAACGTTTTCCAATAATTTTTTTATTTATTTATTAACTTATCACTGAGAAGGATAGTATATGTGTAATGTGTATGTTTGTTACTTCTTCACGCTTGGTGCGATGCATCTGGATGAAGCTTAGTACACAGAATAACTGATTTCAATTTTTCTAATAATGTACTAGTTATTATATTTTTAATCGTTCATTTTTTGGGAAACAAAAACAGCATTTTCGATAAGGCGAAGAAAATTTTTTTTCCTACGTTCTGAATTTGGCCGCCACTAAAAATTTGGCACCCTGGGCACTAGCCCCGAGTGCCCCTAGTGTAAATCCAGCGCTGACTGTTAGACACCAGGGACGCATCCAGGCAAAACAAGGGTAAGTTCTAAGACTAGTTATTTCATAAGTAAGAGCAATGCGAGTGAATTTATAATTCAACTAGCATTGCCCGCAGCTCCGCCCGCGTTCAGATGACCAAAAACCAAGTTCTTAGGTTTAACATATTAGTATACGCACTCTTACATTGCAGTTTTTGTATTTTTTCTCAGAAATGATACATTTTCCCGCGGTAAAAAGTATCCTATATGTTGACCCGGATAACCAGCTATCACCATCTAAATTTCATCAAAATCCCTCCAGTGCTTTTTCTGTGATGCGGTAACAAACAGACAAAAATTCTAAAAACTATAGATTCGGCCTCTTTGTCGATAATAATGTTCAATAAGATTGTTCAATAAGATTTTTCAAAAAATATTTAATATACAGATTCGGCTTCATTACAATTTTATTACACGAGTATGTATAGATAGAAATCTTAAATTAAATGAAATAAATAATAATAATAATAATAAATATATTGGGACATTAACACACAACCCCATCTTATTCCATGCTAAGCTACGAGGCCTGTGTTATAGATACCAAATAGTTGATACAATACACATAATATATAACTTTTAAATACATACATATTATAAATATAAACACCCATGACTGGAGTACAAACATTCGTGCTCATCACACAAATGAATGCCCCAAGCGGGACTAGAACCCGCGACCATTGGCACAGCAAGTAAGATCTCTACAAACTGAACCAAACGTGTCGTCGTAGTAACAAATAATCGTAATAATAAATAATCATAAAAGAATAATCTTAAATTAAATTGGTAACTAACATAAGTTTATTATTAAAATAAATTCTAAGGTAATAAAGAAGTATTAAGTTATAAATAAGTATGCAATTAAATATATAAGCTATGTGACACGTCTTTCATTAACTTCTCACAATAATCACCGCGTGACTCTTAATGTCCGATATATTAGATAAAGGAACTATCTATGAATATCATTGACTCATTTAATTGATTAATTGACCATTTATTGTGTGATAAATCAAACTAAAAAACGCACTTTCGCATTCATAATATTAGTAAGGATTTCCTTTATGTAATTCTTCATATCCTTAGTTGAAAATGTTCATTTAATTCAAACATTAGTAATAATTCAGTTAGATTTCTCGATTTTTTATATATATTCATTGTATATGCTAGATGTACATGTATTAATTACTATATATATATATATATATATATATATATATATATATATACATATATATATATATATATATATATATATATATATATATATATGTAATGCAATGATTTTTGGAAATTCTACCGCTGTTTTTTTTCGAAATCTTGCATTTTATAAGAGTGAAAAAGTTAATGATTTAATGGAAAACAATATTTATATAGGCTAAATTTAGTCTTATTATTGGCTCCTCGACACAATTAACGAAACAAATCACATCACAACACATTTTTCTTTGTGGTAAGCTGGGAAGCCTACTTGTAGGTACTATATGGATTTTACTACAACAACATATCCCAAACAGTTTAACTGTAGTAAGAAATGTTGTTTTATCTAAAAATGACCTTTCTGTGAATTAACTGAGATAAAAGATAATAAGCTCTGATATTGAAATATTATTACAAAAACTAAAAGTTCAGTTCAAGCTAATTGAGATATTCTAACCCTACCTACAATAAAATGTTAATCAATGACGGGCCTAAAAATGGTTTTTAATATAAATATTCAAAAAATAAAAGAATGAAAAAAAATATTCCCATCACATTTGCTTTTACTAAATTAGAAAATAATCGCCTAGATTTTTTGATCCCAGTGGCGCAAAGGCACTCTAAAGTAATCTAGTGAGTCAATTTTTTCTATACTCAGAAGGAGATTACATAGAATTTTTTCGAAGGTCCCGGAATGGTAAGGAAAGCTCTATCTATTTCCAGCGGATATTTCAGGATTTTTCAATATAACCTATTTTTAGAGCTTTATAATTATCAGGGATCAATATTTTGATACACTTTGAATATATTGGTCATATATTACTTACCGGTACGTAGCAAGGAAAACATTGACGTAAGTAGACTCCAGTTCGCCATCATCGGTTGCCAAGGCTTCTACTAACCGCTCTACGGTGCCCGCTTTAACGAAACGCACACGTACTGTCTCCCACTCTAAATGAGAGATTTCATCGTCCGATTCCTGTAACATTAAACAAAAGAGAGGCTAGTGAGCAGTACTTGTTAATTTATATAGTATAAAGAAATGGACACCGTACCGTCGTCTAGTGACTAACGTTCGGACAACGTTCAAGGTTTGAGTATTAATAAATTGAATAGTATTTATTTATTTAGATTTCATAAATAAAAGTATTTTTTTAAATAACTATTTACAACATATTTTTTTATTTTAAATTATCTAATCTTTAATTAGTTCAACAGTAAATAAATATCTTGGTGGTAAGCTTGCGTTATGGATACCAGATAGTGGATACACTACACATATCATAAATATAACACCCATGACTGGAGTACAAACATTCATGCTCATCACAAAAATGAATGCCCCCAGCGAATACTCGAATCCGCAACCGCTGCAATAGCAAGTAGGGTCACTACAACAGCTGAGCTAAACGTGTTGACAGTAGAAATAAAGACAATATATGTATACTATAGGGTATTTTCAATTATAATTTATAACCAATATCGAATAAAAATATGAAATTAAAAAAAAAACTTATCGTAATTTCTACATCTCCTCTTTGAACTATTGCCGCACTCGTTTTCATAAGTTTTACGCTTTGGTGGAGCATGAAAGGAAGTATTAGTAATGCCTCTACGACATTGCACTTTATAAAAATATTCAACAGACTGAATAACGATTTTTATTGATGTTACACAATTTCCTTTACCTAGATCCTAGACATTGATATAAAATTAAAAAGGGATTATCACTCTTTAAAAGCAGACATCACTTATTATGTACGTTAGTGTCTTGACATGAAGAGAGTTTTAAGAAAAATAAAACAATTACGCCCGCGTAAGTTACAAATGAATAAATATAGGTAGGTATTATATATGTATGCGTAATGTTTAATATTCAACTACAACTCTTACAATTCATATAAACAAATATTATATTTATAAAATACACTTATTTTTATTTTAGATAAGATAACATTATAATCTAGAAAAGAAACTTTAGGCAACCGTCAGATCACAGGTCAAATACTCGTATATCGGCTATCGTGCCTCTAAGGCACAGCTATCACGTACGTAATATATACCTAACAACGCAAATTATTATATTCCCGATATTCGTTTGTTCTGAAATCTAATCATAAATGAATGGCAATGGGAATCGTTATGTACGCATGTTCGCCAATTGGATTGAGATTTTATTTGCCAATTCTCTGAATTACACTGAATAGGTGTTTCATACAGCTTCACCCGCATTAGTAGGTCATTTTTTTAACTGTTTTCAACTGTTAGGAACAAAATTACTCTACAACATGTAGGTATTCTAAAATACCTAAAAATTTCTTAGGCCAGCGGTTTTTACTAAGTTATATTATGCTATGGAATAAGTTGTTATTGTTGCTCTTTATTTTTCGCAATATTCTTCATCATTTTTACCAAGTTGGTAAAAAACATTTATATTAAGACAATTAAAGTAGGTTTTTACTTTATTATGCCAATAACAATAGGCTGTATTGTTTTTAATATTAGATACAGATAAGAAAAATACAGAAGTTATTAAATTAATATGAATATTGCCATAATCATGAATACAAACAATGTTATCAATTTGGACTGAATCATCAAATTATTTCATCCAGTTACTGTAAGCATTAGTCATAAATATTTTTTCCGTTCTGAATGAGTTTTCCTCTACTTTTATAGTAAGTACCCATTCAGACTAAAGCGATAAAAATTTTATTCTTTTACTCTGAGAACGATCATTATATGATACGAGATATAAGTATAAGAGAATAACAGAATTATTTTTTTAATTTGATGTATTAAACTGTACAACAGATTATATGTAATAAAACATTTAATTTAAATCGTCCTCTTCATTTGTTTATTTCTTGGATACGACTATAAGGTACGGCGAACATGCATACTCAGTCTATGGTGATCGCCGCTTGGCCGGCTATGTACTACCACGGTAATGTAATGTAATATTACCGTGGTACTACTATAATTAAACTATGTAAATAGGGCTATAGCGAACACAGTTGGTCTTTTTTTGAACACTTGTACGGGAGAACAGGGCGACTAACCTTTTAATTCACTTTAAAATATGGTCAACGCCGACTTGGCTGTGAATTTTGATAATGCACCAATGTTATCTATATTGCCAAAATAATGAAAATAAAACAATCTATTTTGGATATATCCACATATCGACAAGATGTTATATAAAAGACATATTCTATCCATTTTAAAATTAACCCAGACTAAATATTGAAATTAATTTGCGTAAGTAAATTTTGAGTGTACATTTCACATTTGAAGGTTTGGGGGCTCAGCATTTTCATATGACAACATGAAAAACTAGCACAACGAAAGTAGAAGAGGTTCATCAGCGAATTTCAATGCAATTAAACAGCGTAGCTCGAGGGAATTGTAGCAATAAATTGTAAGCAAATAAAAAACCGTCTGGAATACTTCTCGTAAATGCTTACTAAGCGTTGTCTCGAGTGGTACATGGCGGAGTATTAGGGGCGGATTCTGCATCTTTAAAAGAAGAAGGCAAAGAACTAGTTGCTATTTCTATTTTCCGTGGAATTTTCGTTTAACGCGATACAGGTCCAACGAAATTTTCATGCTAATCGACGAATTTTATTTCATTTACCTATTATAAACGTTTAAAAAATCTTTTGAATTTTTGTTGTTACAAGATCTGTTATTTTAGTTTCCACAACACTTCATATTTTTTTAAAGTTATTTGCAAACGCAAACGTAGAAGTGACATTAATGCTTCCTACTGAACTGATTTGGTGATCACACGCAACAACACGCTTTTGCTCACAATTTTATTTAAAAATGATATGATATAAAATAACATTATTATTATATATACAAAATATAATCTTAAATTATATAAATAAACTTTATAGCTCATTTAAGAAGTAATAGGTGCGTTATTCAATTAAAAGGAAAGGAGAATGCCCACCGCAGTATGGACTTTAGTTTCGCTTTCAAAAATTTTGTGCCATGATGATATTTACCACATTTTGTAGGTTCCTTAGTGTACATTTAATTAAAAAAAACGCTGCATCTCTAGCTCGACGGGTAATATGAAAAAAAAGTCACAACAAAAGTGGTTTTCTACCCTTCTTCATTCATTTTGTTTTTTATTTACATTTGAAGTTTTAACTATCTGTAAATGTTTTATTATGATCTGAATGCAAGTAAGTGAATGCTTTAGTTTACTCTAGATTATAAGAAAATAGAAAGAAAACAACAAAAAGCACTGACACAATAACAAACGAACTTATAAGGACGAAAGTAGGTACGTCAGTAAAATAAAACAGTTTCACATTTGACTTATTTGTCATCTTTCAAGTGAATATCGCATTGTTGCCAGTTGTAGATCGATTAATCGATTCTGATTGACAAAACACTAAAACAGGATACTTTCCGATAGATTAATCAAATAAACTCATATTATTATCAAATAAAAATTGATTTTCTTTATTATTTAACATGTTATTATGAACTGCCAATTCGATATTTTAATAAAATAAATATAAATGTATCGATTATACTTTGGTGAGTCGATACGCTCGTACGAAAATGGCAATACTGAGGATTCAAATGTCAATAACAAAAAATACTTGAGAATTGCAAGTAAAACGGAAATGAATAAATTACTGCTTAATATGTGGACTTTTATCCGTCGAAGTTATGGCTAAGTATTTTACAATGGCTAGTGAAAATTAAAAACTTAGTTTTTAATATTAATTTGGTTTAGGCACAACGACGTGGAAAGAGGAAACCACGTATGGGCATTCCCCTTTAAATACTTTAAAAGTACGAATGATTCCACTAGATACATGGCTTAATAATAATATACAATTCTGTTTAGGAATTATAAGAATTCTAATAAAAACGTTTCGAAAAGAGCCCGAAAACCATTTTTAGGATCTATGGTGCTTTAAGCAGACGTAATTGATATAAATTATAATACATAATTTCATAATAACATATACTCACACTAGAAGCAGAGCGCGTCGGCCGATGGTAGCGCACCTTCTTGAGGTAGACCGTATAAATTGCTCCGTCCACCCGCTCTTCGCCCCACAATCGCCATGTCGGCTGCTGGAACATATCACCAGTTGCTAAATACCACTTAATATATAAAAAGAGAAATGGCCATTATTGTATTATTCATCTCATATAATTTTGTAAACAAAATGTTAGAGTACAATATAAATATTATTGTAATAAAAAGATGTAAAAACCTATTTCTATCTTAGACATTATACATACTCGTAGTTATAATAAATAATACGATTAACACATTTTTATTATTTTACTAGCGGCTCACCTCTCTTCGCTCGGATTCGTAAGGCACGTTTTAGCGGTTTGTATAGAATAGATAGACTATATTTATTGTATCCATAGGTATCATGAGTTGTTGTGGGTTGTATTATAACTTGTTTTCCCGTGGGAATGAGATAATCTGCCGCGGTAAAAAGTAGCCTATGTCACTCTCCGGCCTATCTCCACACAAAAAATTACACCAATCCGTAACTCTATTATCGACGTGAAAGAAGGACAAACAAACACAATTTCACATATATAATATTAGTATGGATTATAATTATTTTTACATAGTACATACCTAATTGATATGACAGGTGTTATTTACTTAACTATTTAGTAATTCTATTATATAGAGCGATATGTAATGTAACTCTTACATAATCATCATCAAAGCCACTAGAAAACAGTACAGGCTCAGCCTTACTGACGCCGCAAATTCTCCACATGGCCCATGTCGTGACGTCACGCGACGTCACCCTGCCCAGCTGAGCGCGGGCATCGCGATCACTTTCACTATCGCAAACCACTCGGTGCAATACAGATTATAGATGCTCATGCAAATATCTAAATAGATCAACAACCGGCTAAATAAACTACTACAAACGCGAATGTGCGTGACGCGGGAGAAATCGCACTCGAGTGGCACACTTGCTGGAGCTAACCGGCACAGCTTGTTTCCTAGCTAACCGATACTTATAACTTACTCTCTTTAAATGCAAGAGTTTATCAGTTTATATTTTAATTAGCAAATTAATAAAATTCGAACTCGTTAAAAAATTATGACAAAATCGATTTGTTGCACATATCATAACATCCATCGTAGTGTTGAACATCACACATTGCACAGACGCAAAACTATAACTGCACGTAAGTGTAGTTTTGTTCATATTTTATTTAACATACATATACAATTTTATACACCTTAAATTCCAGCTGAGTTATAAATATTTTGAAAATAAGAAACCGAGCACGTAACTGTTGCAGCGCGGCGGCGTGAACGCAGACGACTGCTCTCTCGTGGAGAGATCGCGTGAAAAACTTCGTCTCTAGCACATGAATGGCGCATACATCTTTAAGGCGGTAACCATGAAAACATAAGGTAACTTAGCTTGTGTGCGCGTATTGAATCATCATTCCGTCATAGTTTAGCAGGTAAAGAATTCACGATAATATGTATAACTTCTAAGTGACAGAACAGGTCTAATTAGTTGTATTGGTCACATGTACAATATGTATTAATATTCGAATCGTAGCCCTGTAAATAAGTAATATTATTGAAATTTCGCTTATATAAACTTATACAGAACGTATGTAGCGTACTGTTAATGTAAGCACTTGCATAAAACTGAGTGATCGAATAATAATTTCATACAATCCGGGTTCCAAACAAAATATGATGCAGCTACGCGTTAACTTCTAGAATACTAAAGCAGGTTAATAGAACGTTTCTCGTCATAAACATAAATCTGAATTCGTGTCTAGCAGCTCTAAAGAACACGAAGAGTATACTTTTATCCTATGTACATGATTGCTGACCCAGTATATTTGTCGAAACAGAAACGGGTCGAGTATGAAATGGGGCCGGCCACAACTGTGTAGCCTCCTCACACTAGAGTTAATTTCCTTCTTGTTTCCGCTCATCAAAAATCTGCCATTTATAGTAGGTATATTATTTCACTAATGTTATATACAAATATTTAAATGCTATATTTCTTAATCATTTTGTCACAAATATATAGTTTCAGACCTTAACATACGAGTATACATACATTGTTTGAAGCTTTTATATTGCTTCAATTAATTATCAATTCCCACCCATCGATCCATTCGATATCTAATTGATTAAAAGCATCGACATACTATTCCACTTTTATTCTCCATTCAATGAAGTTATACAGAGTTCGTATTTTTGTAGTTTTCTCTTATAAATAATTTATTGATTAAATTATTGTGGAGAAATTAATAAACAAATCGAATGGGATATTTTGAGATTTGATATTGGGATTTGAAACTCGTTGAAACGGAAATGCGGCACGAGAAATAGACAAACAAATATATAGGATTATGCCGGCGAGATAATGAGATAGAATACACTACACAGGAAGTCAAAAATAATACCGAATAACATGTTATTACTTATTATGTAATGTTATATTATATATATGTTAAATAAAATGTAAAATAACTTTAAACTTGGTAAACAAAACTAAACTTATTACTTATAATAAAAATGAATATTTATTACTATGAGCAATGTGCATAAATTACCTAAATAATATCTATTAGTACTAATAAGTAATTGTTGCCATGGTAACCGTTGTTATTGTCTGAAAAATATATAATATATAATTATGTATATTCTTTCCGCAAATGATATACTCGAAATATATGATTGTAATATGCCGAATATGCCTTATTTAATTATTTCTTTTTATTTAGTTGAGATATTTCTACCGTGAGTGAATTGCACGCACACACTTTTAATTCTTTTTTCAAACATTTGTATATAAAGTAGTTTTATTATCTAGAGGGAACAAGTATCATTAGATAAAAAAGTTATCACAATTATGTTAAAGGGATAATTTGACACAGCGCCAGGAGACACTATGACGCCAGCGCGGCGCTCCAAGCGAAAAAGTCTCGACGTAATCATTTATATAAACGAGACGTATAACAAGCAAACAAATGGCTATCTACGGTTTACAACAAATGAACACTAACAAGGTTTCTACAAAAGAAATTCCATATATGAAGACTGAAAGTAATCGAATACCTTTTGCTTGTGAATTCCATAGCATTTATGTACTTAGCAACTACGCCAACAATCAGCTGCTTATGAAACAAACGTCGTTACCTAAATCTTATCTTATATATATCTTATTCTATCTTCACACACTTCACGTTAGATGTAGAAAATAGCGTTTCCTAATTCCATTTTCATCCTTATTATTCATCCATCATGTTATTTGCTGCCACCCTCACAAGGTGGCAACTAGTAATGTGCGTCTTCTGAATCAGCCCGACACGGCTGTTAGCGAGTATTGAACCCGCGATCTCCAGCGTAGTAGGCGATGCCAATTAGGCACTGCGTCACAACGCAAACAATCGTAAACCTATTTATTTCTTAAGTATACATTGTTTCATTATTTTAAATACCAGAATACCTTTATATTATATAAAATTAATTCAATTATTATAAATTATAAAATGAGGCAAAACAGCTTACTTCACTAGATATTTGATTTAAATATTAAAACTTTCTAGCAACTTTTGCAACTGGTTTTAAAACTAGAATTATTAATTGCACAAGATTCTATTACCCCTTTCCCATTTCTTGAATTTATAAAATATTTTAACTTTTGGTAAAATAATGTTTGATTCTTGAACTGAAAAAATACTTTAAATTAGTAGACTCATTTTAATTATCCTGTAAAACTATACCTAATATGGTATATGATATACATCAGTTAGCAAATTAAACCAAGGTCGACTTCATTTAAATAGAACAAAACACTATACCGGCAAATGTCACAATGAATGATACGGAAACATCGTACCTATGTAGACATTGATAGACATTAAATGCACACAATTCATATCTATTCGCTTGCACTTTATTACACGCTATATATGACTGCAGTGACTTCAGTTAATCACATAAAACTACAGATTAGTACAGTGTAATGCTGATTATACATATCTTAAAATTAAAGCTTAAATATCACGCAAATATTAATATATTTAAAATTATAATGCGAAAATATATTTGCGGCTTTGTTGACGTAAAGTTAATATTTTATTGATCGGAGATTGTTATAGAGTATTTGATACCGACACATGAAAAAGTTTCCGAGGGATGTTATTCTGTTCCGAACATATATGTAGAGGCGCTAATAGTAATATATTGTAAGTATAAATATTCTATGTAAATTGTTTGAATGGTACAGGTCAACTATAAAACTACTAACAGTTCACGTCACGCTCGGCGATTTTTGGTAATTGTTAGAACAAGGCTAATTAAAACATCATATTATACGTATTATAAAGTATTTTACGCCAGTATTCTCAGCTGTTACACGTACATTTATTAATTTGAAAATACACGTAATATTTGATTAAACGGGTAATGATATGATGATTTATGTCATGTTTAAAGTTTAAAGGTTAAGCTAAAAATGTATCGGAAATTTTCCATTATAAGGACGTATATTGATTCGCAGTGAAAGCGGTACTGGAGTTCTATAAAAAGCAGATTCTTCAAAAGGTAGTCGCCGCCCACACCACCCCATACCTCCATTATGAGACTATCATTTATAAGCGCCCGTTGCTGCAATTGCTGCACACGATTGTGTATATGTCACAAGGAAATAAGAAGAGCCATTAAATTGTAATTTCACTAAGAACATTGAGTTAAATTGTGAAACGGTCACTGATTGGTCCGATTTAGACAATTTTTTTGATGCGCAGCATGAACCATAGATTCAGAATAAATAAAGGAATAAAAATGTAATATTTTTATTTATTATTCATAGGTATTAGTAAGTATAAGTAGTATAAGTAGTTAAGAAAAAATAATCTAAACTTGCGATATATGTGTTCAATAAAATATGATAATAGTTTTCACGCAGAATGACTTGTAATACCGGCGATGACGCAGTTCGTCGCATCACTATACGTTTTTTTCCTTGCCCACATTAAACATATTATATTTATTTTTGATAGTGTAGGGGTTCTGGGTTTGTAATACAAAAAAACCTAACGCTTTTGCCCTT